TAAGTATTGATGGAGGGGATCTTTCTTTTCTTGCAGTTTAGCCCGTTAGCAAGTTTTTCGTTGAAACTTGAGATTACTTTTGAACGACGTGTTACGAACTATCAAGGAAAGTAAAAGTTTCTCTGTTATCTTTCATCGTGCTACTGATTGGGATTTTATTAATAGAACTGAACTTTGCACTTTCGCTGTTGTCCTTCATTGCGGTTTGTATTTGATGCATTAAAGGGAAACAATCGTTTTTTGTTGTATAATTTCCACGTTGCTGTTCATGGATACATATTGCTGTTTGATCTTTCCGGTGAATAAAATCCCAAGTGTGCTAGCTGGATTTTATCTGCACCAGCTGTACAAACAAGGGAAGGTCACCTCAGTCACTGGTATGTATTCTGATGCTTAAACTTACCGAGTACGTAGCTTGCTATCCATGCTCCCTTTCCGCAAAACCCTTGCACAAAGCGAAAGGTGAGGAGCAGCGGGTACCACGGTGACAGCATGACCCCCACACCTGAAATACCCATGCCCAGCATCGATGCAATGAAGCACGGCTTCCTGCCAAACCTGTGAAAAGACCAAGGAGTGTTTGTTACTGTTGCAACCTGTATGTTGGTAGAAAGAAAAAAAGGTTGATACTTATAGGTGCATAACTAACCTGTCTGCCAGGTAGCCATTGATAAAAGCTCCAACAAAAAATCCACATGCCAGGGAAACCTGATTCAGATCAGCGAGCCAGGCTTTCCCACAGACCAGTGAAAACTAGGCGGGAAGACATTTCATCCAGAACCAAAATTAGCAGAGCTGTTCTTGTGGTTGTGAAGTTCCAGAAACACAAATGTTCAGCCAACTTCAAAAAAAAAAAAAAAAAAAAAAAGAGCCAAATTTTGAAGTAAAAGTGACAAAAAATGTACGTTTTCTCTAAAAATAGTCATTGCAACACAGTTTGTTGTTTTCAGCTACAGATCAGGTCCATGTGACACATATGAACAATATCTCATGAACATTAACTGATGTGTTGCAGCAAGTTTCATCTTAAGTAGGCAGTCAAAAGATTAAAGCCTACCACAAGAGCAACTGCAGAGTGTATTTATAGATGAATTATCTACTGATAGCAGCCTCCTATTTCTGACTTTTAACACAGTTTTTGTAGCAAGATTGAACAAACTGTACCCACCTCAGAAACAGTGGTGCTGTGGCTGTTGTCAAACATCCACCTGCTCCCACATGGCACTAGCTGGGTTGCATTAGAAGTCTGCCACCAGTCGAGTTCATGGCATTTGTTCTGGCTTTTGCTCCAGTCCACTGCAAATCTCTCACATCTGCTGAAGGAACCCGACTGTCCAGAGCGAGGAACAGTCACTTTCTGCACTTCGACATCCGTCCAGCCGCATTCCTCCCGCAGGCGCTCGGCTCCAGGACTCCAGCACCAGTGATCCGGAGTGTGCCCTATGAAAACAACACCAACAAGTACAAAAGCAAAAAATATCAACGGCAATGAGCCGAGCGCGACAATCCTCTTCTGGAAAGGCCCAAAGTCTCCGATGTGTTGGATGAGCTTGTCCATGTTTGCCATCTCTGCTGATTATCTAAGAGTGTGGAATGACGCGCTGCATCTGTTGTTCAAGCAGCTGCATGCTGACAAAGTAGCATTTTTAAAGAGACAAGTGGGGCCCAATGTTGACCAAAGTCCCTCTTTCCTCTCATTCTTCAGTCAGTTTACTGGTCATCTTTTCAAGGAATTGAGCAAGCTTATCATGTCATTAAAAGCTCAGCACTAACAAGCTTTCTGTGTCCGTAATTTATGGACTCTGTTTACGAGACTCCAGGGGCCTCTTTTTCCTCTTTTCAGCTTTTTTGCTGTCCCTCTTCTAATCAGCTAAAGAAATTAGATTTCTCTCTGGAGGTCACTTTTTGCCCCACACTTCTTTACATATATATATATATATATATATATATACACACACACACATATATATTTTATCAGGGGCCATTTTAATGAACTGAATTTATGAAGCTTCAAAGAATTACATTCGTAGCACAAAGTCGTGTTTTATCTTCCAGAAACTCTCCCCAAATATTAGGTATATGTAATATCTGAAAAATTGCTTTGAAACTCTGCACGAGCATTCATGATCCCAAGAGACTGAACCCTAATCTGTGCACTTTGCTTTGTGACTACTAATGGCATTCCCATCAGAATGAGCTGGACTTTGTATTTAGAGGTAATTAATCAATGTTAGCAAGATAACATACTATGTGAAGACTGTATATATGATGAACATTATATCTGTTAAACATTGGCGTGTTAGAATTGTCTTTGTGAGAACATTAGCTGGCTGAGATTAGCTTGTGAAGTGTTGTGCCAAAGCAGAGCCTAAAGTCCCTTTCAGAGATGCCCTCTTTTCCATGAATCTGACAGACTGTTGGCTGAATGAACGACCTGGTCTCCCTTATGTAAAAGTTACAACACCAGTCTTACTAGGTCAGACCTAGAAACAGTTTACCTTTAACTGGACACAAGTCTGACCTGCATGTCGTTGCATTAATGGACTTCCATGTACAAGTGATGTGCTCGGAGTATGAAATGCAAAAACATTACAGAGAGCGCAAAAAGCACAATTTGCCACCAAAATAACAAAAAACAGAATTCTCGTTGACTTTTCTTATCTACTACAAACTGAAATGTGCATGGAAATCAAACTTAATAGCAACAGAGACTGTAACAGGTCAGTTTAATAAGACTCACCTTAAAGAAGCTGCCTCGGTTGTTGACAAAATGTTAACAGCTGATGAGGTCTCGTTGTCGCTTCCAGCTGTTTGTAGGAGTCTCTCCTCTGAGTTTATTGAATACCTGCTGCATCAAACAGCAGCAGGATCCATATGAGCGTCTCCAAGAGCAAGAGGCTATTTTAAAAGTAGCTGCGTTACCAGTTCATTCTCAGTGTTATTTCACAATAGGGGAAAATAAATTCTCTAGAGTGCTTGTATTTCTTGAAACCAAATCATAGTTGTCGTAGGCGAGCTAAGTGAAGTAGTTACAGCTGTAATTGTTGTGGTGAAATATTTACTTGCAGGGAGGCGAGCGCTGTCATTAAAATGGTCAATTCACCCTAAAAAAATCTATCAGGGCTGCCTCACTGCATGATCCAAGTCCTTGGAAAAACTTTACATTTTCAGTGTGGTAGATTGCTCCTTGAAGGTTGTTGTTGTTTACAATAGCGAAGAAGACCTAGCAAGGCTTTGAGGCTTGTTCTTTTTTGACTTTAATGTATAGTGACAGTAGTTGTGACATTTGCAAAAGGATTTCTTTAACATTGCCTGCACTAGATGCGTTCTTTATTCAAAGTTTAGGGTCCTTTCCAATCATTACTTGAATTGGTTTTAGACGCCACCTTGATGAATCCATTAACAGGAGCAAAGATCTGTGAAGCAGGACGAGTTTTCTGTCACCAGCTCTTGGTGAAAGCATTATGATTTTGGGTTGTTTGTACATCGGCCCCTTTCCTTGCGATCATAATACATCAGGAACATCTTGAGGGAATTTCTTCAAATTTGGTGGAAGCATTCACTCAGACTTGAGGATGAACTGATTAGGATTTGGTGGTCAAAGGTAAAACACGTTGTTGGCTATAACTCAAGGATTCAAAAGCAAATTATGCTGACTTCTAAAATTTCAAGATGAAATGGTGAAATGATGATGTTTTATGTCCATCCATCCATCCATTATCTATACACTGCGTAATCCTCACTAGGGTCGCGGGGGGCTGGAGCCTATCCCAGCCGACTTAGGGCGAAAGGGGACACCCTGGACAGGTCACCAGTCTATCACAGGGCTACACTTAGAGACAGACAACCAAGCACACTCACATTCAAACCTACGGACAATTTAAAATCACCAATTAACCTCAACATGTTTTTGGACTGTGTGGGAGGAAGCCGGAGAACCCGGAGAGAACCCACACTGCACGGGGAGAACATGCAAACTCCACACAGAAAGATCCCGGTGCCTCCACTGGGACGCAAACTGGCAACCTTCTTGCTGCAAGGCAACAGTGCTAACCAACTGTGCCATGTTTTATATCCAAAAGGTCAAATTCATTGTGATATCAGAACACTGTAACTCAGGACCAGAAGGACAGATGAGGATGAACTACACGTTTGTTGGGATACAGATTTGGTGGAACTTGTTTTGGGTTCCCACCCTGACACTCTAACACTCTACAGTGCTGCCCTTGAAGATGTGTGTGAGGCTTCACTGCAGCCACATTCTCATTTGAGACCATCTCTACTGTCATGGTTACAGCTATGTGCTCAGGTCATCAGAAACAGATTTATGGTCAAGCATGTGAACAAATACAAGGAACTGGACTCTTGTTTCCTTCAGTGAACTTAGTATATTACACAAGTCTCAACAGACGTGGGCTTAACTGCAACGTGAGCGGTGGAGGCACAGAACCACGAGGCTGTAATTCCAGTTTTAGCCCATACATTTCCGGTTTGCCTTATCGAATTCACTAGATAACGTAAACATCAACCATAATGTCAGCACTTCAGAGAAGCGAGATTTTCTATGAACCCGGTTAATGAATGTTTGGTTTTACAGAATCTAAATGTTATGTTATGTAGCGATGCTGTGTCATTCTGGGACATAACTGGTTAGACAACTTTCCTGTTATTTGGTTTTCAAAGAAGCCACTGCACATTAACCCATACGCTGAGCATTACATCACTGACAAATCAAGCTACTTTAGCTTTTTCCTCTTTTGATGCATGCATTTTTCTCTGTGATTTTTGTTTGTAATATTATTTCTTAAACTTGTAACATCATTCTTAGTAAAGAATACTGTTTGTTTTCACACTTCCAAGATATAGATAACCATGAAGTGTGTTGTCAGTGAAGCTAAAGCAGCATAATGACTGTAGAATGTAGAAGCAGATTCTTTATGAAGGCAAGATAAGAAACAGTGAATCTTTGCACTTCCATTTGTCGTGCATCATTTCTTCTTTGCACTTCATTTAATATTTTGCTTGATTTTATTTCATTCTTATTTTTTCTACTTATATTCCATGTATGTACAATATTGCCTTTGCATGCCAGGCGTCTTGGGCATAAAAATGCCCTCACAGGTGGCTAAAGTTCAGTTATCTCTAGTGTTGCATTGACAATGTAATCTAAAGGGAAATAATTTACCCAGCTGAAAAGAACAAAGGACATGGCATGGGATGAAACATTCATTTAACTTTGAATATATACTCTATGTACTTACTTATAGAAGATGCTGTGTGCTTTTTAATCAGTGTCACATAACAAAGTTGGTTTAATCAGTTTTGTTACAAAAGTCAGACTGGAGTAACTCCACATTTCATCAGATGTACTGATTTGTTACTTTAAGACTTCCAAAACTAAATTGTGTGCAATTACTTAAAGATGACCCTCACAGTATTCGTCATTTAACAGATCAGCTTAACGGTCACTATTATCCTAACAAAGCAGGCATCAGCTGACATCACCTGTTCCTCTTTTCCTTTAACTAATCTCTGCTAAGGAGTTTAAAACGTCCACCACCAACGGTCGGTCTATCGGACTCTGGCAGCGGTGAGAGAACAGCACTGTCCCATGTTCGTCCAAAACAAAGTCGCCTCCCAGCTAAAACAAAAATGCAAAAAATAGGACAATCACAAAGACTTACTTAGAAATGTTAATATTCTTTTCTCTTGGGAAAAATATGTGTAACGTTTTGATATGAGTTAAAACCCCAACTGGTCTATTTCTGCATATTTACTGTGCATGAGCCATAAATTATTTATTTTATTGTGAAAGAACATTATCATTAGCGACAGATAGAAGATTTTTTCCTCCATTGTCACATAGTTTCACACATGCACTGTTTGTATTTATGTTGAATGACAAAGTTGGACTTTAGATGCGTTCCACAAACACTTTTTACGATTTACTGATTTAGATAAACTTGTTAAGTTGCAAACATAGTTTTGACAAATTCAGTTGACGTTATAAAGTTTGTAGTTGGTTGGTAACTTGATATTTTGTTTAATTTCTGCATTATCCATCCATCCATCCATCATCTATACACCGCTCAATCCTCACTCGGGTCAAAGGGGGACTGGAGTCTATCCTAGCTGACTTAGGGCGACAGCAGGGGACACCCTGGACAGGTCACCAGTCTATCACAGGGCTACACTTAGAGACAGACAACCAAGCACACTCACATTCACACCTACAGACAATTTAGAATCACCAATTAACCTCAACATGTTTTTGGACTGTGTGGGAGGAAGCCGGAGAACCCGGAGAGAACCCGATCCGGCGACCTTCTTGCTGCGAGGCAACAGTGCTACCAACTGTGCCATCTTGCAGCCCATTTCTGCATTTGTAATTTTTAAAATTGAATTCAAGTTGAAGTAACTTAATGAAATTGGCTTTGATAACTACATTTTTCTTCATCTTAAGGTCAGAAATTTAAGTTCCCTCCAATAACTATTTAACACTGAGGCAACTTGTGCGCTGGTAATTTTGTACATAACACTTAAAACGTACTTTTAAATAATAGTGAAATGCTGATTGTAGCCACTATTTTTATTAATAATCAACTCAAGAGCTAGGCTTAATGATACCAGTTATTAAGTAAGTGTAGTGGAACGGCTAATTTCCCTGACTCAATGCCGTTTGTTGGTTGAACACAATTTAGGTAGAAGCTGTTATAACTAAAAAGACTGATGCAAACCAAAATGTTATTTATTCGAGTGAAGGCGTCTTTAACCTGAAACATGTCGTCTTGGATGGATGGAAGCCCTCGTGGAAACTCCATGTTGTCCGCTACATATTCGGCGTAGAGCAGCATGTTCCCGAAGTTCAACACTTTTTTCAGAGACGCTCCCAGACCAAAGTCAGCGTACATCTGCAGTACCCAACACAGAAGTTATTTATTCATCAATCAGACGGAGAGTAGAGTGTCTTCTGCTGCCTGCTGTTGCTTTCTGACCTTTCTGTCAGGGTCCAGCAGCATGTCGTACTGACAGACTGTGTCCTGCAGCCAGTGTGAAGCTCCTTCCTGACAGCCAAATGAAACCACCACCACTTGAACCGAGGCTGCATCCAGGGATCTCTGCAAAATTATGTCACAGTTAAATGTAGAGCAGCGCCGGTTTTATTTATTGGAAATTTCTAAAGAGTTTTGAGAGATTATGGTCTCGGCTGACGGTGTCTACTCTGCTTTTTAGCTGTTTTCTGGCCGCCACAGGAGGAAACGTGACTGGAAGCTTTCCAGTTTCTGCTCTCTGATTATGTTAGCTCTAAACTCAATGTGCTGGGTCTGTCTGCACCGTCAGAGAGAATCATTTATTCAGAATTTATGGAGTCATAAACGTACAGCATGTAACAGAACATCCCGTCAACCTCCAATCGATATCCAGAAGAGAGCGCTCCAAAGTCACATTAAATGATTAAAGCGGTGACCTTCGTATGCGTTTATTTATGTGAGAGACAGAAAACAGACTAAAACAAAAAACATTAAGACAAGCACATCCTTATGTTGAAACTATAGACAGAAAGATATGAAGCTATTTGGTATAAACCTTTATCTGGTGCTGATGTTTGCCACCTCTGACCATCAACAAGCCTCTGCAGTGACAGCAACTTCAGACAAGGACTGTCTGTAAAAACTGACATTGTGATGTTTTTGTTCTTCTGCGATATGGAAAATCATACATTTTCACCAGATGACATGAATAACTAGTTCGAAAGAACTAATACCTCTAGAACGACTGGGGAGATTTTGTAGAGGGAATACATCTGCATTGATATAACAAATCATTTCAAAAACCTTAAGAAATTACTTTTCTGTGAGGACTGTTTATAGGAACCGTTGTTGTTTGGTGTAAAACTGGCAAAGACATCTGAAATAGTTCTTTGCTTTGGATGTCATTCAGATCTGAAAACGCACTCATAAAGAGGTTTTTGCTGTTGAATTAACTGGTCAGACTAATTTGCAATTGACAGATTGTTAATTGTTGCCTCATGTGGTGGCAGAACACCTAGTTTTGAACATCATTCTTTCTGTAGCTGAAATATTTCTATATCACTGACTGGGGTTGGATTATTATGGCCAAAATGATAATTAGGATTATCCATCCATTATACACCGCTTAATCCTCACTAGGGTCGTTAATTCACCTACGGACAATTTAGAATCTCCAATTAACCTCAACATGTTTTTGTACTGTGTGGGAGGAAGCCGGAGAACCTGGAGAGAACCCACGCTGCACGGGGAGAACATGCAAACTCCACGCAGAAAGATCCAAAGTGTCCTCACCGGGACGCGAACCAGCGATGGTAACCAGGCAATGGTGCTAACCACCGAGACACCTTGTAGCCCTAATTAGGATTATTCCCATCGATATTTCAATAAATCACAAAGAGCCTAATTATTACAAATATTCATTGACTTTAGAGACAACATATTGGTATTGCACTTTTACATTTAAATAAACAGGGAACTACTTTCACTTCCATGTTGAGCTAGGTTCCTGTTAATGTTCAAAACTGCACCGAAATGGGACTTTACTTAAATTGTGTCTCCTAGAAGCAAAATATGAACAAAACTGTATCCAAATACTCGCTTACTGAGCATTTGCTTATCAATAGATGCTATTATTTTCAGATATTCCTCAACGCCTCACATGCAGGCTACAATACAAGCTAGCTAGTTAACTGTGCACAGAGAACCTTCTAGTCTCCACCCAGTTACTGCAGGACAGCTATTCAGGCAGGTGTTTGACCAAAAGTTACTTTGAAAAGAGTGAAAAAATAAGTAGTTCCAATGTCAGACTTACTCTGGTAGAGGAAGAGTGGTTTGCTAAGTGAGTTAAGAGTGGGGTGCACATTTTAAACATCAGTACTGCAGTAAATCATGTTCATTTAATTCTAAAATTACAAAATCGTTATCGTAAAATTGTGCCACCCAAAGACTGCTGTTGTGTTTCTTATTCACAACCAAATCATTCTTTTTTAGTATTTTTTTCCTGTTTCCTTGCTCATTTTGTCGTGAACATGTAGAGCCTGCACGTCAGTAAACGCTATATCTTGTAAGTAAAGTTAATAAAAATTAAAAAATCGTCTAAGCACGCTTAAATCTGAGTAAACTATCTTCTATCACACTGACTTCTCTTGTAGATTAATAGAATTGTGCGAGTTTACTGTATTAAGCAGCAAAAAAGTTTCCCTTCATACTGCACAATATCGATACTGAAAAAATATGTTGTGTGCCCCTAATTTAGTCAAAGGCAATTTTTAAAAATGGAAATCAAAATTTGCCCTTTTTAGAAAACATTAGGATTTCAGTGTGTGGTATTTACCTGATTCTTCTCCAGATCTTTAATATGCAGACGGCAGAGCAGGCACGAGAACTGGCGGATTAACACCAGCAAAGTCTTTTTACTCCTCCCAAGATATTTCTGCAGGGTCACTGTTCTGCAAAACACAAAAGGGGCACAACAGACAACGCTAACGCACAGATATTTAGCCAGGTTTCCAAACTCTCTACTCACTGTCCTGTTCTGGCGTCGACGAGAGGCGTATCTGGTGAAATACGTTTGGCCTGATGGTCGCCGTCCAGCAGTTTAGCGCTCAGTTGTAACTCATCGTCCTGACGCTGCAGAAAGGCATCCCACTGCACCTGTGTTGCATTGGCCGCACTCAGTAAAAAATACGGCCTTGTTGGGAATGTTTTTCAGATTTTATTTTAAATTTCAATAACTCACTTCTAGCTGCTCAAAGTCTCGCACAGCATCCCTCAAAGCTGCACAGCTGGACACGTCATGCAGCAGAGTATTTAGGGTTGTTTCAGTTCATCAAAGCTGTGAATTTCTGTACTTTGTGATCAAATGAGTGGATGCGTACAGATATTTATTAATACAGGGTGCCAGTTTGGTGTCCTTAGTGGGTCTAGATTGAAGTTTTATATAGCTATACATATTTAAAAGCCATAAAAATCTAATTTAAAGGTGTTTATTTGTGATGTTCAGCCCCATACTCAGGTTTTGTTTCTGTTTTTTTGCCCTTACTGATTGTATTTTCTCCAGAGATCTTCTGCATCCTTCTTCCTCTTCACAGACAGGCTGTGAAGTAAACAAATATCAGTATAAAGCTGAATATGTGGTGCTACGAGGCTCATAAATCTATAGTATGCACTTTTCAACCACGTGTTTCAGCGGCAACAGTAAAAGTATTAAAAGCTTTTACGGTTACAGGCTGTTTATATGCTGAAGGTGCGACTCAGGACCTGCTGTACAACGCTGCACCCGCTTCAATCAGCCCCAGCAGCGACTGTCTGTTCTCTATGCGGATTTTCTGCCTGATGAATTCCTGGCGAGAGACTGCGTTACAGAAAGCACATACAGTTAGTATATAACAGTCTGCAAGGGTTGATTCTTTATGTATAATGATTGACAGGCCTCCTGGCGGCTCCGCTCGTGGTGCGACCATAAATCGCCTGCCAACTGCAGAGCGTGGTGTCTGCACGTCTATTTTTATGTACACTTGTCTGGCCTCACAAAATGCTGCCTACCTTCCCCGCTCTCCTTCTCAGCGAGGTCCAGCAGAGCTTTTCCATTTTCAACAAAAGCCGCGAGAGCTTTCGCACAAGAGACTGCGGTCGGCTCTGGACCGTCAGTCATTTTCTGTTTGTACTTTGATGAGATACGACTTCTTATCAGTGACCAACGTCTGCTTTCGAAGTCCAGCCCGAGCAAATTTAGAAACAAAAGAATTCTGCTGCTATTTAAAGGGGCGCTTCACTGATTGAGATGCCTGTGACAACATTTGTTCGCGTAATGTTCTTCTGTGGCTGTAGAGGAGCTTTTCAGAGTCGCAGACTATTTCTTCAGCATACCTGAGTTTAGCATTTAAGATTAGGGCTTTATCAAAGAGCTATGCCAGAGACAACAGAGGGCCTGCATTTGTGAAGACACCGCTGTTGACGGGGAGGCTGGTGGCAGCAGCCAGTCTACTTGTCCCGCTGCTTCTCATTCACTCTTTCCAGCTGTTCTAATCAATAAACACGAAAAAACTAAATGAAACGACACAAATGTGAGCGACATGTTTTCCATTTGAACGAAGTGTAACAGCATGGGGTAATGGGACATCAAGGGACGATTGTTTTTCTGCCGGTTTGGACGTATGAGTCTGATCAATACTGTGCTTGTTCACCAGAGCGCTGTATCTATTAGACTGCAGCATGTTTCCTTTGACACCAGACTGTGGTTGATGTGAGGCATTCGTGTTTGCTTCCTTTTTGCTCCTCTACTTTTTAGTGCAAAGCTGGATTAATCAAAGTCTCATAACTGGGTCATTCCATTTCAAATGATCACATTTTCAGAACAGTTTCTATTCGACCATCTCTGATTTCCCGGAAGTTTTGATTGCATAAAATATTAATATCTATAAAGATATTTATTAAATTGTAGCTTGATTTATCAAATGCATATCCTGATAATTTTTTTAAAAATTCCCCGTTGACCCACTTTTAGCACACTTTAAAATGGAAAGAAGAAAATACTTTTTAAATGGGCATATTTTTCATTTTTAGACTCCACTTTGTAGGCTGGTGACAGAGGGTGAACCGTTACCTATTATACTTACTGAATTCACATAGTTGTCGGAGGACGGCGAATTAGCACGTCACAGTATTATTGTTATTATCAGTTAGTGACTATTAATATGTGATTAGCTGTTTTGCCTTGGAGAAGCAAAATTCTGTAGCTTTGATCAGAGATTGAGAGCATATCGATGTTTTAAAGCTGCATGTGTGGCTCTTTTCCTTGTTCCCATTACAAATTTATGGTTTAATGATATTCTTAGTTTTATTATGTGTAGAAAACAGTGATTGATATCGTAGTAATGTTATTATTTTGACGTTACTTCTTAGAAATCATCATTTTCTGTCATCAGTTTACTGTGAAAGTGTAGTCTACATACAATACAGACGAGCCTCGACCCTGCCAGCGTTAAAATGCTTTAAAAAATGTTGTTGTTGAGAACAAAGTATGACATCATAGCTGCCGAATTCTTTCAAAATTGACAGAGAATCCTAAAGTGAATTCATGTATTAGTTGACAGTTTTCTTAACAAGGTAATCTTAAACTTTAACAGCTAACGTGAGAGATGTTTGTCGCTGAAAATGCTACTCAAGAGTCATGCCTGTACTTGTTTAAGCCTCAAAATGACGTCTAACTCTACTCGCCTGTGTGTAGAAAAAAGAGAAAGGTGTCATAAGTTCTTTTCTTTTTAATCTATGTGTTAGAAAATCCATAAAAGTGCTCGGTTATAGTTGGCCTGTTGCAAGTGCTAAAATGAACCTCCTCTTAAATCTTGACATATCGGGCTCAGACACTGAACACAAAGCCAGCATTTTTCTTTTTATTGCTATTGCATCTCACATGAACCAGGTTTCTTTTCGCGGAGGTCTCAGCATTAATCAACCGACTCCATCTCCAGATCTCTCTCTTCTTGGTATCCGTCCTGATTGATTTCCTGCTGTTTGCTCTCCTCCGTGTGGTTCTCTTGTGGCTCCTGGACGCCCTCGGAGAGTCCATGTGATTGGCTGGCGTCTGTTTCTGTGGGTGTGACGTGAGAGATCGTGAAAGAAGTGGCGATTTCCTTCAGAAGGGCCTGTTCAGCCTTCAGTTTAGCCAGTTCATCGGTCAGGGGAGACGTCGGTGTCCTGGTGGGAGCTGCTGGAGCTGCTGGAGCTGCTGGTGCTGCAGTGGTCTGGACGGGTTGATCCTCTTTGGGGTCTTTGGGGGTCTCCTGCACCTCAGGAACCTCCTTCTCTGTCTGCTCAGCGGTGTTGACTTCCTGTTGACTGCCAGCTCCCTGTACCTTCTCATACAGACTCTTCCTTTCCTCTTGCAAAGCCCTGCACAGGTTCTCCAGCTTCTGGTTCTTGATGGTGAGAAGCTCAAACTCCTTTTCCTTGATGGCTTTCTGTTGAGCATTAAAACATATCGATTCAAGTCTCATCTAGTAAGTGTGTCAGATTTATTGAAAACAAACATTTCTTACATCTGCCACCATGTCAATGAGATTCTTGTTGCAGCCATCAAAGCGACTCTTCCATGACTGGCACTCCTTATCCAGCTTTTTCATTTTCTTGGCCATCTATGCCGCAAAAAGGAAGAAAAAAAAATCATGTTACATTGCTCACAGTCAAAGCATCCTCTAAAATTAGCTGCAACAGTGGAGTATAGGATTATAGTTTGTCAGTTTTTTGATGTGTTATTGAGGAGCTCATGGGATTCTTTGCTCTCATCATCTTTGTTTTTGCAGATAAACAGAATAATCTAACTAATATCTTGAAGCCGACTTCAAAAAACACCATACTTACTTTGTCCATGTCCTGTTTGAAGCCGCTGTAGACACTGTTACTCTTTGATACCGTGCCCTGGAATTCATCAAACTTCCTGGAGTACATATCGAGCTGAGGTAGAAATGGTGACAAAACATTATACGTGTCTCCAGGGAGGCAGAAAAAGCAGCCAATTTTTTGCTCACGACGCCCCTGTTACTGTACCTGGGTCTTCATATCGATTTCTTGCTCCTTCATGACCTTCACTTGCAATTTATACTCCGCCGTCTGCTTTAGCAGCTGTGGAACGGGGAAACGTTACATGAAAATGAGCTTTCGGGGGGATTGTAATTGCAAGTGTTTTTGCTAAAAATGCTCAAAACCTACAAGCTCTTTCTCCAGCTTGTGCTTCTCCTCCGCCTCTTTCAGGAACATGTTTGCCTGCTGGAGTTTGGTTTCCAGCAGCTTTTCTTTCAGGTCTCTGTGCTTGAAGACCTTTTCCAGGTTCTGGAAGACATTCAGGTGAATTTATGAGTCGTTTTCACACAGAAAAGCTGTTTCATTTCTCGCTCAGGGGAGCTTTGGCTACATAAAACTGAAATAGTGTAACTAATAAATGTAAGACCCCGGTGAAATTTGCAAATAATTCATGGGCACAGATGTGTAGGGGAGTTTGCATAAGTGCAGTTCATCCCAGGTCTAGTTTGCTTTGGGATGACTCATTGACTTTCTAATGTGTTCCTTTAACTACTCCTAACCTTATGTGACTGTCTGGTCTAAACTAATGTCTGCTCAGTTTGTGGCAGTTAGGATCCATACCGCCTCTCGCTGGTCGTACTGTGAAATGAGTCCCTTCAGTTTTTCTGCCAGAGCGCTGTTCTCCTGACACAGCTTGGTGTTGCGGCTGCTGTGCTCCTCGATCTGGGCCTGAATCTCACTGAGCGTCCCCTGGAAATGGGTGGTGATCTCTTTCCTCTTCAGGTCGTCCTCTCTGCACCTCTGCAGGGTCTCCTCCTGCAGTTCAGGCACAAATGTCAATGCCAAAACCACACTGCACTGCAAGATCCATTTGCAGTTACAACACAGTTTAAGCTTGTGTAACCCCCACGAGTTGAGGAATTTTTACTCCGTCTTAAAAAAAACATGAACATCTCGTTTTGTTTCATTGTTTTTGCAGCAGTGTCAGCCATACAGGAGGTTAGAATTTGGTCAGAGCTGACTGTCTGATACCTTCAGGTGACTGTAAATATGAATGTGCGCACTAAAGCTTCATATTTATTCATAGCTGCTAGAGCTGCAACGATTATTTGATTCACTGATAGCAAGAAAATTCATCTTCAGCTGTTCAATTGATCAATTAAGGAAACAACTGTCAGGTAATTCATTCATGAAAAGATGAAATTAATCATTTTCTGTTATTCTTTCACACCTCATCAGAAGAACTGCATCAGAATGTGTTAGCAAAAAGAACAACCCACTGTTGCCCTCTAAAGTCTTATTTAATGTAGAAAAGGGTGATTGATAAAGTAGTAAAGTCACTATTTCTACGTTTCTTCCCAGAAATCATTGTTTTGTTTCATCAGTTTGCAGTAGCAGTGTTGTCAGAATACAAAACCAACAATCCTTGATCCTGACAGTTTGAAAATGCTTTAAAAATTTTTGCTGTTGTGAACAAAATATGGTCTGATAGTGTTGAATTCTTTCAAAATTAACCCAGAATCCCAAAATAAATCCATAATAATTGCAGTGTAATCTTTAGCTTCTGTGCCCCGCTAGCAGCTCATGTTAATCGTTAGCAACGACCAAACGGACAATCTGCTTTTCTTTCAATTATAAGAACTTCTTTCCGTGTTACTTGCATTAAATCTGAATAAACTGTAGATGTCGTGCGTATTGGGTTCAGCCGCATATGTGGAGAAATCTTTGAAAACTGTGATGTCCGCTTATGTTTAAGATGAAATTCTGCCGGTTTTGAACAACACTCGGCTTCGCGGCAGGAGTTGTGGGTGTGGTCGCGTAAGAGGTCAAATCTTGAGCTTTGACATAACGGCTGATTCTTGGTGCCAGCTGATGTCATCTCCTGTAGAGCCGAACATATGGTGACGCCACCTGGCACTGCAGCTCAACTAACAGCAAACGGCAACTTCAGCAACTTCGATTAGACGCCATTTTTGTGTAGTCGATGTTAGATCCTAGTGCGACTTGTCAAGGACTAACATCAGTACCTTTAGAGTCTTGTTGTGTCTCTGCAGCTCTCTGCAGAGCCCTTCCAGTTTGCTGCGAGCCAACACCGCCCGGCTGTGCTCGCTCTGCAGCTGGTCCTTCTCCTTCATCACTTGGAGCAGCTTCTTCTGCAGAACCTTCATCTGCTTCTGATCGCTGCGATGCTCCTCTAGCTGCGAAAGCACACACAGAAATGTCTTTTCCCTGGAAACAGCTCAGGAGAGACTTCTTTCTTTTATTCCTGTTTGCCTTCATTAATCATCCACTCACCAGCTCAGCGTGCTTCTTGATGATGGCCTCCAGTTTCTGCTCAGGAGTGCCGAGTTTGTTCAGACTTTGCATCAGCAGCATGGCTTCCTTCCCTGAACAGCCACAGAGAATTTCAAGTTAAACACCATCCGTCTGGAGCAGATTTCTAACAGATATTATCTTGGAATTTGATTACATACTGTGAAAAATCATCTTGGCATCTGACACAAACTATAAAAGGCATGTGGAAATACAATTTCACCTGCACGTCTGCTGCAGATGGATGCTCTTACACGTGTTACGGCTCTGCTTACACGCCTATCGCTTTCAGCACGACTTTTCGCTGACTGAGCTGAATCAAACCCACCTCAGCTAAAATCAATGAAACATTTTGAAATAAAAAAAAAAAAAAAAAAAAAACACAGCACCTAGGTTTTTGAGCATCTTCTTCTCCAGTTTCTGGTCCTTGCGGGCGTCTGACTCTTTGACGGCTGTGACCTCCTCTGTGTCCTCTGGCTCAGCTGGAATCTCAGCACCCTGGTAGGTGCTAATGATGTCCTCCAGCTGTTGGCCCAGGTCCTCTGTCAGGTCAATGTGGCGGTCCTCGGCTGGCGATGGACCCGTGGGTGCAGGGCTGCTCTCCTGACAAGCCTCCATTGTTCTGATTCTGTAGTGCTGAGAGGGAGACAGTTGGTCCTGTAATGGAGGAGTGAATAAACTGGGATTACTCTTATGGTAAACTCTGAGGTGTTTGAGTTAACATGCTAAGCAACATGCCAAAGTTGCCATGAGCTTGTCTTAGTTACTTTATATTGGATTTTTGAAGGCTAGTTCAGAACAATAATCATTCCAAAGTCTGTTTAATTGAAAACAGATTTGCTACATTCAAAATGTCTCCAAATGGTTTTACTATAGAACTTGTCATAGTAAAAGTCTGACTAATAGTTTCACCAAAGGCTCTGTTTTAATTAGGGATAAATATACAAATATGTTTTTTCAGCGCTGATGCTGATTATTATTATTAATCAAGGTGACTGACTGATATTTGGAACTGAATGTATTTGTAGTAAAAATCAACATCTTGGTGTCAAAATTTTGAATAATTCAAAATCCAATACAAAACTTTATTGAAAAGACTGTTTATCATTTAGTCTTCAGTGTTTTTTTGGCTGTTAATCGTGATGCATAGCCAATCAGATCTTGCTGTGGGCGGGACATTGCTTGAACCTACAGAGTGGTGACTGCATCAGAGCCAAAGTAGTGCATTTTAATATCAATTTATTTGATCAGGAATCTGTTATCTGACCAGTGAATATTTGAGTCTAATTTTAATCCTGTGTTTTAGCATTGAATTGACATGAACAATACAAGTTGTTTTTTTTTTCCTTTAAATGTTTTTCCATTAGCTTTCCAAGCCAATATATTATCTGATATTAACTTCCAGCAGATACATATTGGTATCATTTGTATTTAAATACGTAACTACAGCGAAACAAAGGTCACATTTCAACTACAAAATGTCTCAGTTGGTGTATTGTGTGGACACTAAACAAAATCCTGTATTGGTCTGGATATACTTGTAGTTATTCATATTAAGATCAAAGCTACAGCTCATGATTATTTTCATTATTAAGATACCTGCTGACTAGTTTCTCCCATAATTCTCGTGAAATGTCAGAAAGCAGTGAGATGTTCTAAAAATACGTTGTTTTGTTCAACCAAGAGACCAATTTGTTCATTAATCAAACCAATCCTCACAGTTAATTACCGTGGAGCATATTTGGCACTTTGGCTTGAAAAATTAGCAAAATGATTAATCACAATAGTTGTCAACGCTTTGCTGATTGACCGTTTAAATAACTGACTGATTGTTTCAGTTCAAATTGCAATGCGCTATGCTCTGCTGCTGCTCCTTCATGAAAGAGGTTTGGCGATAGACTACATTTGTGCGAAAACTGGAGTCACACTCAGCAGCAGATGTGACACCTTTACCATCACCCTCAGCAAGTACCAGGATGCTGCTTCTGAGCAAGGCACCTATAAACTGCAGTACACTCTGTCCAGATGTGGAAAATACTGCATGCTTTTTCATAATTGTAGCTGCTACACACAACTAGTATTTTCTTGGTTTCTAGAGCTTTTTAAGGCAGCCAATGTGGAGAAAATGGATTTTTTTTTAAATGGCAAAACATTTGACAAAGTATCAGATAAAGTAGCAGCAGAACTTCACAGTCGACCAAAGTGACTGAATCCGTAATGTAACGCCTTATGGGCCGCTTGCGTCGGTCTTGCGTTGTACAGGCTCACAGCCAGAGCCTGTTTACGTGCATAAAATTAGTGCAGCCTTCACACTGCCTGCGCTTTCACAAGCAGAGCACATGGCACCTGTTCCAGACCCACGGGCTATTTTAAGAACTTCTTAATATGGGCACGTTATTTATTTATTTCTAATCCACTCTTATTGATGTCAGTGTCAGTGGTTGTGTGCGAGAAAGCTGCGATTTTCAACTATTAATATTCAGTTTTTAAAAAAATAAAAACGCATTAATGTTACATAAGCGAGGCCATCTATATTCAATATTTTTGAAGGAGGCACATATTCAAATGGAAAATCGCCTAAAAATACACAACTGTATTGAAAAGACATGACTGATTTCCTTCCTGCACAACTGTAAAATGTTATCTTTTCTCCAACAAAGTGAGTCTCTTTCCAGTTTGTTAAGAAATGACACAGGCAGGTCTCGCTACCGTTAACACCTTCTCATCTTCAGCTAACTTGGCAAGCTTCGAGCAGCCGTCAAATTCAGAGAAACACTCATTAGTACGTGTAAGTACGAGAAGAGGTTTGGAAACCAGCACAAGATTTAAGTTTTGTTTGGGTTTTTTTTACGCTAATTCAAGTGTAAATGTCCCCGAAGAAGCAGGGTAATGAGCAAACAGGGTCTTACCGGGACCAAGGGCCAGAGGGGGAAAAGGAAGAGTGTCGAGGGGGCTTTGGACAGGCTGCCACCACAGATACAACAGCTGTGATAAGACCACCTCAAAATAAACCAGAGGAGCACGGCTCACTCTGAGCAGAGAGAGGGAGGAACTCTACAATACGGCTCTGTCTCAGGACACCTCACTTTAGAAAAAACAACAACTCATAGGCCTCCTCTGATTGTAATCTTAGCAGGAATTTACCTCCAGAGAGCCTGATACAAGATACAGGAATCTTCTAGTAAGATCCCAAGCAGCCATTTTATGTGATGCCTTTGCCGCTTTAAACCATTTTATTTTAAGCTGCTGTTAACAGCCATATAATTATTCTAACAAATGGGCCTGACAAGCCGAGTGACTGAGCAGGAGAAAGGAAAAAAAAAAAAGAGAGAAAAGATCCAAGTCTCTGATTGGCCAGAATTAGAACAAAACCTCCTTCCCGAACGAGAGGGGAGCGTCAGAATAATACGCCGCAAGATCACTTCCTCACTTATTTTATACTCAATACATGCAGTATTTTCTTCCACTGCTTGTGCTGTTGATACACAGCAGAGAGGATGCACAAAACCTGAACTTGATTCTGTGCATGTTTGAATATTATCCACAAGGTGAGAACTATTTTTGGAAGCATTCATTTATTTTTCCTGTTCCATGTTGTGACTGCAGTAATCATTTTTCACCAGAGGATGTCACTGGTAGGAGATTCTCCAGTTTTTCACTCCAGAGATGGGTTTTTTTTTCTTTCTCCACACTCCCCTACAGATAGAATGTGAATGATTTCATCTGAAAACCTTTTCATGTGAGCTCTAATTTAAACAGTGGTGAATTATGCAAGAGTCGAGTCGAAAACCACGAAATAAGCTGCAACACACATCCTTGGGTTAGAAGTATATTCTTTTTAAAACAATTTTGAATTTAATCTGAAAAAGTAGAGCACCAAACAATAAATTCCTCATAGCATAAAAGAGGCACTCCGTCCTGACTAACCAGTTTTTGATGCAAATAGCTAAACAACGGATTGGCTACTGAGGCTTTTTCCCTCAAAAAATCTTAGCTGAGAGGTAAAATGATTTGTCCTCTGTGTGTTTTACAGGGAATTTCCATTGACATGAGAGGCACAATGCAGTTCAGTAAATATGAATACACAATAAAAAACAGAACACAAACACAATCTGAATACATACTGTATGCAAAAGCAAAATAAAAGGCTTCACTTTCCCTTCACATTTTATGAGCATTCTGCACCGGTATCACGACAAATAAAATTTACACAACCATGAAATCAAAGCTACATACACCTTCAGAAAGGGAAACACAAAAATTAAAGCAGTGCACCTTTTAAATTTTTTATGTAAACATGAGTGAACAAAGTGTTTTTTTTGATTTTGAAATCCATTCTCAAACTGATAACATAACCACTTGAAGACGTGAATACATTTTTTTTTCTCTTTTAAAGATGAGACACACCGTGTTAGCGATCAACACTGTGCTATTTTCGCCCTCATTAAACCTCTGCCATTACAGCAACTGCAGACATTTTACCTCTTAAAGAGATATAAACAATCCACATAAAAAGTTTTCAGAATTCAACACTGCAAAAATAGTTTAAATCATAAAAATACACATATATATACAGAGAAGAAGTAATGCATTTGGTGAATGATTACTTACATTTTGAGCTGAAGCACAGTAATAGTCAACCAACTCATGCTGTTAACATCGTTACTTTAGTATTACTTACAGTAAGTGATATTGATTTTATCCAGTTACACTTGAAATGCAAGAAAAACGTACTATTGACTGATCATCATAGCCCCTTGGAGTTGTGTGCAACATGTTTCACACAATGAGAAACGTGAAAAACAACTGGAATGTTTCAAAACCACAAGAGAACGTAACATGTTTTTTTTTTTCTTCTTCTTCTTCTTTTACTCCTCCATTTCCACTGACCACGTCAGTTAAAAAACATCAAAGATGAAAGGATGAAAGTGCATCTTTAAAAACTCATAAAATGCTTATGGTCATCTGTATAAGCCAGAAAAAAAGCCATCTGTTTAATCAAAGCAAAGACATGAGATCAAAAGCGAATGCCAGCGTGGCTCACTGCATAACTGCATCACTGCTGCATAAGTACAGATATACCATATAAATAGTAGTCAAATATTTACCAGTATCAATAAGTGCTTACGTTCTAATATATAAATACATCTTACAGTATTCATAATTACATAATTACTTCCTCTATTTTTGTGCAATAGCAAATCCCATGCATTTTTACCAAGATAAAAACCACAACATTAAGAAAAAATGCAACATAGGAAACATTTTTTTAAGATTGTTTCACATAAATCAAGCTGCATCCGTCTGTCAGCCGAACTGACAGAACCAAAAAAAGAAAGAAAAAGCTTTTCTTTGAGCAAACCTCTCCGAAAGCGCAGACACTTCTGAGTAAAGAGTACCTCGACATGTTTCCTTATTCGACAACCAACTTTTCGATAAAGAAATGATGAAAAGCAAAATAAAGGCACAGACCCTTGCCGCTTGATCAGAAGCACCAAACTGCACAAGAAGCGTCTACTTAAAATTTGGTCAGACTGTTTCATTATACACATACTTTTCCCCTTATAAATAGTCTTTATTTACTGCACTACTGCATCACACCTTGATATGATTACATAAACAACAGTCTATTTTCAAAGTACACACAGTAAAATACACTGTTTGTATGCATCTAAGAAGGAGTATATGTTAAGGACATTTGTACAGAATCCATAAATATAATTTATGTGCAATTGTACGCAAACTACTATGTCAGACAAAGGCATATTAGCATAATATCTTTCCATATTGCACCTGCACCCAATAATGATTCTCCACCTCGCAAAAACATCCCGCTGCTCGTCCAACAGTTTCAAACAGCCTCTGAAGAGAAGAGCACATCAGACAGGGTGGGTTTCTTCTTCTTTGCTGTGAAGGTTTGAGCTCCACTCAGGTTTGAAAGAAGTTGTCTGTTGTATGTGCAAGACCAGAGGAAGTGTTATTATATTGCCTCTAATGGGATAAAGATGAGGTTATGTGCCTAAAGGGCTGAAGATGACATTGTGTAGCGGGGAGGCGCCTGGTCCTGGATCGAATCAAGAAGACGGAAACAGGGGTTTTAATGAGGGTCTTCTGTGGTGATCTTCAGCGAGGCGATGGCTTTCAAGCAGGTCTGGACGTTCTCCTCCTGCCTGCTGTCCCCGACTCCGGGTTCGAGGCTTTTCTCCTGAGCGGCTGGATGGCAGGACAGCTGGTTCGGGCCTCCGATGTCATCTCCTCCCGTCTCGGGCCCGTGGACAGATCCCTCCCTGCTGCTGCAGCGCTGGCCCTCGCTGCTCTGGGGGCTCGGCGCCGAGGAGGGGCTGACATCAGTGCTGGAGGAGGGCGGGGAGTGCAACATCTGGAGCCCTCCGACAGGAACGACGGGGAGCAAACTGTGGGCCTGCTGCTGGGAGTGAAGAGGGAGGTGGCTGAGGATGTTCTGCTGATGAGAACTGGCAGCACCGGGCAGAGTGGAAGCCAAGCTGCTCCTTTGATCCTGAAATGACATATTGGCAGCGTTAGCGGCAGTTTCACCATCCACAGAATCATTTCTCATGTGAAAATATATTACAAGAAATGTGAGTATTAAGTTAAAAAAAAAACCTGCACACCCAGAAAACAAAACTAATATCAGAATATTCCTTTAAATTTCCTATTTCAATAGAAGGAAATTGTAGAAAATATGTGTTTTCTTTATCCAGCAAAGCTCTTGAGATGACGTCTCTGCACCATGTTGGTCCCAACTAAAAGAGTACCACAACACTACATTTTGTAGAAACATTCCTGGTCCCCAGAGAATAAATGCTATTGACATTTTATCTGAAAAGAAGCTGACATTTGTGGTTCGGAGAAAAGTGTTTTGACTTTTGAATGGATTGCCGTGACAGTGCACAATCAGTTTGACTTATTTTGTGCAATGCTGAGCAAAAGTGCTTTCCAGTAGAGAGTAAGATTGGTTTAAATGTAAAGGTTAAGGCCCCACAATGTTATTTACTATATGAATTCACCTAAGTTTGGTTAAAACTGACCATCTTATATATAAAAAGCAGACTAACTAGACTGTCATCTTGTTTCATTTGGGTGCAGTAGTGTTACAAAATCCATCAACAGTTGTTACTAAATTTGCACCAAACTATCATTCACTTCTCATTATTATTTTGCCCATTGCATAGCTATCTAACAAAGTTGTCAGAGTTACATTTTTTTAGACACTGTGCAGAAAAACACAACCTAAAAAGCTCCCGAGCAGAGTCAAAGTCGCACTGTTCTGTGCTACGTACCATTTCCATTTCAAAGGCTCCTTGGTGTTGAGCCATCTCCATCTTTGCTTGGTGTCTGGTTTTATCACCGCCGCCTTTATGTTGGTGGGAGCCTCTGCGCGGTGAAACAGCCCTGAGCACAACCCTCTGCCTGCCTCTGACTGAGGACTCCCGTTTTCCGGCCAGCTCTGTTCCAGGAGACAAGGGTCGCTCGATGGAGACCGGTGAGGGGTGCTGGATGGGCGAGAAGCCGGGCGAGCCGGGCCTCAGTGGAGACGTGTCCCACCTGGGAGAGGAGCGACCTCGCGGGGAAAGCTCTCGCCTCGGGGACGGGTAACGCAGACGCGAAGGCGAGGGCTCCCTGATCGGAGACTCCCATCCAGGAGAGAGCAGACAAGAAGAGTAAGGGTCAAACAGGAAGCTGCTCTGGTCCGGAGACAGCATGGTGAGGGAGTCTTCATCCACCGACTTCTCTCTCTGGTCGGCTGCGAGGACGGGTCGATGATCGGAGCCCAAACGCCTGGTGGACGACTGCTGACGGACGTCGACTCCGGGCAGAGAGGTGAGAGAGCAGCCGTGGATGGCAGCCGTGGCTGTAACCGACAGAGATGTAACTCCACACGGCTGAGGACTCGTGCTTCTTGAGCGCAGCTTCGGAGTGGAATCGCCTTCATATTCATCATCCTCCTCCTCGTCTTCATCGATATCGTCGACTTCTTCCTCCATGCCGTCAGAGTCCTCGGCATCTGAGAACTGGTGTTTGGTCGTCACAGCCACCTCTGCCTTCGACTCTTGTTGGATGTCGTCCACTTAAAAAGACAAACACATGAGTTTAGCTGGATTTGTTGCGCTATGATGGCAAAAGTGCAAGATTAATGCCTCTAAATTGGCATCTTACCATGTTCCTGTATCTCTGTCTCATCCATCGTCACCGACACTCCCAATTCAAGACATTTCTTCATGTGCGCCTTTGACTTCATATGTTTAGTCAGGTTTCCTGTAGAGGAAAGACAAAATCTGTTTAAACCAAGCTTGCAGGAAGACTGGTCAGTTTTGTGAAAACCATGACCACCACTACAGAAAAGACTAACTGTGGCAAAAAATGAATAAAAAAATTAGGAGAGTGATCTGCTGATTCTGCACAATGCTGTAGTAACTCTAAATAGCAACACAAACTATGGAGCTTTTGCTGCAGGTGCAGATTGTATTTTTAAATTTGGATACTCACACCATTTTTGAACTGACTTTTTAGTGACTTTCTGCAAATTATTTGTCTATAACCCTAAAGAATACCTACCTTTAGTTTTAAAAGCAAAGTTGCAAACCCTGCAGATGTACGGTCGCACATCTGTATGGGTCCGGATGTGTTTTTTCAGCATGCTTGGCTTCTTACAGCGGATGCCACACTCCTCACAAATGTATTTCCCCCGTCCTCGACCTCTGACATATACATAGTCTTCATTGGACTTATATCTGAAATAGAGAAGCAGTATTTTATTTCTAATGAATAAATACATAAAATAGCACAGTTCTAAATGGGGAAAAAGAGCTTAGGCGCACGCACTGACATCCTAAAATAACTGTTGTATTTCCAGTCAGCAGAAATGACAAGTGTTATGATAACTAATATCTTGACTGACCCTCCCTCGAAGATCTTAATTCGTGTTGGCACTGTTTGGGTTGTGGAAGCCTCCCTCTCTTTCCACTCCTCCTTGGCAGTTTTCACTCTGCAGCTGATGTCTTTCACCTTCTTCCCGTAGGTGATGTCCACCTCTTTGGGCTCCGGTTTCCTCTGCAGCTGAATCAGATGAACAAACATTGTGTTAACATCCATTTTAAGTGGACGCCATATCGACAGTGTAACGCGATGCGGGCAATATTGTGTGTCACACATGGCATTACACAGCATGTTTTGCAAACATGAATTATGCTGCTGCTGGTGCTGCTGCCGAGGAAAAACCCAGGACAGCAACTCTCGTTTTTATGATAGAATATATTCATTTTATGCACCTAAATCCAGACAATCACAGTTTCAAGACTTAGAGTTGATTCATTTTATGAACAGAAAATGCAAAACAAGTGATGAATCAAAGTTAAATATCATGATCAGCAGTGGGCAGATGCTCTCTGCAGACACATGCCAAGGGAACAGTCTGCCAAATGATTGAAATGTGCAGTTTGCCAAACTCTGAGCGATAAAGTCCTTCAAACTTCACACATTTAAAAAAAGTCATATCTTGCTGAACAAGGTGAAAAACTTCCAAGTGCAGCTAAATGGAAGGACTTACTTTCTTTGTAAGAAGACCAATCAAATACACCTAAACTCTGAAATACCTCAACAAATGTTTGCAGTGGGATCGTTTTCTCACCTGTTCCATGGTCTGCCTCCACAGGATGAGGGATGACACCAGTTTCCCAGTGCCAGGCTGACACATGGCGGCCACGGTGTAAATAACCTTGTCTCCCCTCTGTTTGGACCGCAGCAGAGCCAGAGCAGTGCTGGTACTCAGCTCCAGTGGGTTCGGGTTGTGGGAACTCACACACCAGGTGGCGTACACGGAGGCGAACGGGGCGTTGCTGTGGGAGCAGCTCGGCTTGGTGTAGTTGAGATAACACCAGCTCACACCTGTCGTCGTGCGAAGACTTGGAAACTGAGATAACAGCCTCGAATGCTCGGTGTCTGAGATCAGGATGTCTTGACTGGTAACCAGCTGTGCCGCCATATCCATCTGCACCCGTTTCTCCATGCCAACTTCTTTCACTTCGCTGACTGATATCATGGAGTAAGGAGGCGAGCTGCTTTCCATAGCTGACTCGCCGCCGTGGTCAGTCGCCTCAGTCGCTTTTTGCTGAAGTGTGATAAATTTACTCCTACGTGAGTCATCCTGAGCATGAGGTGTTGATGCACCCTGCATCTCTGACCTGTGCCCCTTCTCTTCGCTCAAATTACATTTTCCCAGCTCCACAGCACTCAGCTCCTCTACAATCTGCCCAAACATTCTTTCCTCTTTCACACGTTTTTGCTGCTTGACCTCCATGAACAGGTCCAGGCTGCTGGCAGGGGACAGCATCCGTTTGTTTGCACCGCCACTGGAGGCGTTAGTGGTTGAGATGGTTCTGGAGGTCAGAGAGAGAGGGATGCCCGTCTTCAGCTTAGCCGACGACAAATCGAGGGCTTCGACATTGAGGGTGTGAGTCGAAGGCGGTTTTGTATAAGCCAATACGTTATGGGAATCAGGATTTCCAGAGAGTCGTGAAGTTTGATTCTGAAGGGTGGATGTTGTGGAGCTTACACTGCCGTACTGATTGTCGAAAATCTGCGACACTGAGGTGTATGTGATACTGCCATAGGACGGCACGTGAGTCTGAATTCTAACAGGAACCAGCAGGCTCGGATGTGACAGCTGGGGAAATGTGTTCCCTGTAGAAAATATTGGCAAAGTCTGCGGCAGAACAGTGACTGCAGTGAATGGAGGGGAGGTGCTGCTGAGGTACTGTGGAAACACTTGTGATGGGACTTGTGTTACTTCAGTATCCATATTCAATGACTCCTGTCGCACCAAGTTCCCCCTCCTTCTCTCCTTCACAGCGTTGATGTCCACGTGTCTAACTTTGGATGTCGGAGAAAGGCTGCCATAGTCAAATGATATGCTGCGTACCTCTGGGAACTCCTTGCGCAAGTTACACGGCGCCTGCTCTGAGGAGGAGCGTCTCATTTCATGTTGTTGACGCTGGTTGAGCACTGAGAGGGAGTGCCCACTCCCTGGCACAGCTAAGAGCTCGAGTGGTTTGCCAAATTCATCCTGCCTGGCTGGAGAGACTGACTTCAAGCTCTCTTCCCTGTCAAAAGAGAAGGTGGAGCTATAAGATAAGTTGCTGTCTTGGCTCGGGCTGCGGGAGAGACTGGTGCAGGCAGACTCAAAACTAGATTCACCAGAGGAGTGCTCGATATCAGCTAAGCGTAGCCTTTTCTTCTTTGGAGGGAGCTTTTCTGGAGGGAATTGTGCTAAAGTTTCACTCCGTTGAGGCCACTGAAATTCCTCCACGTGCTTCTCAGGCTCCTTCACCTGCACCTCTGGAGCTTTTTCTGGACTGTCAGGCTCTACTGTGACCCTGATTTCAGGGACTTGAATGTTGGGCTGCCGCACAAGCTTTGGCCCAATCTGAACTGATTGCCTTAATCTACTGTCACTCCGCTCCATCTCGAATGAGTCACTCGCCTCCATGGCTTGAAATGAAGAAATACTTTCCTGTCTCTGCCCGTGATATTTGTAAGATTCTGACTGCTCAGTGTGAGGCCTGTTTATTGAGTTTGTGTGCTGAATCACTGAAATTACATTCCCTAAGGTTTTTCGACCAGACATTTCAGGACTCACTGATATGTCCATGTCACACTGAGAAAGTCCTTTTCCTAAAGCCATAATGCCCACTGCAGCTTGTTTTACATCATAGTCCTTGCTCGAGTCAAACATTTCTTCACACTGTTCATGATGGACCTCATAATGACCTGGCAAATCCTCCTCTTCCCTCTTCTCTTTCCGGCGCTTCCGTGTTGCCAGTTCCATTGCATGTCGCTGATGGCTCATACTGGGCGCCGCAGAGGGGTAATTTTCCATTTCCAATCCTGAGGGTGAAACGCCGCCCTCACTCATCTTTCCGTGGCCGTCGGCATCTGCGTGGCCATCATGGGCGGATAGTTCGAAAGCAGCCTGCCGTCTGAGTCTCCTCATGCCCCCAGTGCTTGTTCTCTCATCAAACGAGTGGCTGCCTCTGAGGGCTTGAGGCATCGTCAGACAGACTGCCGAGGATGTTGGCATCGAGTTGCTTCTGATCAGAGGCCCCACATCAGAGCCAGCGTCTAACTGGGGTTCTTTAACCTCTTCCCTTGCGAATGACTTTGTGTTTATTTTGATCGACTCAACAGTGTCTTTCTCTTGGGTGAAAACGCGGGAAACGCCTTTCTCCGAGCGTTTTCCGGTGTATTCGCTTTCTGTGCTACAGGCCACAAAAGCTGTCGCCTGTTTTGGGCTTGGCCGATAACACTTCCCGAACATGATTTCTTGATAGGACTTTGCGTTGGTGTTTGGAGGCCCGGTCTGGTGCTCGGCGCTCTCAGAGCGCGAGAAGTATCCGGAGTCCGTGCTGCCCTTGCTCGACTGACTTGGGAGGGACAGGTTGTGGTCAGAGTCACTGCTTCTTTTTTCAGACAGCCGAAGTGCGAGCCTCTGTTTGATCGTGCAAGATTGAATTGCACGACTAGCCTCGGCAGCGGCAGGAGGTGCATTGATTTCTTGGGGTTGGGATGAACCATCCTGAGCTGACATTGACGTGGCTCCCTTTTTCTGAGCTATGAGATTTAGTACTTTTACAGCAGTGTTATCTGATCCCTCCATTGGAGAGTCCAGCAGCAGCAGCGGGTCATTAAGAGTGTCCTCGTCCGTGTCCGTGCTTTGCTCAGCATCAGAGAATAACTCTCCTTCCCCTTCAAAGGACCCCTGGTCTGTATTGGCATTGTAAGAACCAAGTTCTGAGAATGGCACTGTTCCAGCTTTGACCGAGTGAGCATGGGACTTTCTGTGTTTGTATAAATTACTCTTGGTTTTGAAGGAGAATCCGCAGGGGATGCATGGATAGGGCCGCTCCCCGGTGTGTGAGCGAATGTGCTTCTTAAGCACGCTGGGTTTGGCACATGCCCTTCCACAGTAATCACAAACATACTTCCCAGGTTTTTGTGGTTTCTGCTCCACCTTACCTGCTGTCTCTGACAGCTGATCCATCCCTGAATGGGAACACTGTTGTTGGACTTCAGGTGAACTGGGGGACTTCCTGTGAGATGCAGGTCCTGGAGACTGTGCAGAAACTTTCTGTCTGCCAACAGAAAGCGACTTTGTGGACTGCAGTGGATATGAGGACACCTCATAGTCTTGATGGCTTGTGGACTGGGTTTTGGAGTGCTGATCTTCTAATTGCAGTGATTTCCCTGAGTCAGACATTTCTTTGAAACCACATGTGTCTCTGCTGTGAGCTTCTTCTCGTTGTTGGTGCCACCCCTTTCCTTCCAGCTCGACTGATGGTCTCCTCCTAGTCTGTGCAGCCTCTGATGTGCATTTTTTCTGTGCAACATTTCTGTCCTGACCCTCAATGGAGCTTTTCACCCCTGCAGTAGTTTCAAGTGACTCCATGAATCCAATGTCACTTCCTTTGCGATCGATTTTCAAGGACAATATCTGTTATGTAACTGTAGTGATATTAACATACATGTGATTTGCAGGGAAGGGTCATCTGAAAGAAATAAGAAAGAAGTGAGAGTTAGACAACACAGCAGAGGATGCAGTAGCACAAACTAGGTCACATAAAGATGCACAAGACAGTTATCAGCACGCAAAAATGAGCATAAAGATATCCTGTGTGGTAAAATCTGAGTGTAAATCCACTGTTTGAAAGTGGGAGCTATTCAAGGCTGTTTCCCAAAAGTCCTCCTAATAAAGCTGCAGTATAAAATTCATAACGAGCTCCAGCACAGCAGGAGTGGAAAAAAAATGAGTCTCTTTACCGAGATACCTCATGTCAACCCTGGCAGATGCCCCAAATTTCCCGAAGCCTTGCGAACGTACATAAATGCGTGCAGTGGTATTTAAAGCACATGCCAGTGCTTCGGTATGTGTGTCACGAATGGTTGAACATGTGCATATGTTTATTATGAGTGTGTGCGTGTGCGTGGAACCGCAAAAACAATAATAAAACAACCTCAAAATTGACTACTTTCTCATCATGTGAAATGTCGCTTTTACTGGAATATTTTTAAGGAGATGTGACAAGTCTAGGTGAAATGATCTGTTTTGGAATTAATAAACAACCAGATATTATAATTGCTTTTTGCATAGCAACCACAGGGAGGGCAGCTTTTATTTTGGAAAGCTGCAGGCATTGTAATCTTAGCAATGCATTTGATAAAAAATTAGAAGTTTTATTGTCATACTGCAATGCAAGAAAGCAATACAACAACATTTTAAAAGCACTCTCTGAGTAAAATGTGTATAAAATAAAAAGACAGTCTTTTAAAAGACATAAAAACAATAGGGCATTTTAAAACTTAATAAATCCCCACAATATACTACTCAGATTCTTTCTCCATTCCATTATTCCAGATGCACCTTTTCAATTTCACTGTCAACATTTTTGGCTATTAGTAATAAATATAGACTTTGCTGGATGTTTGTATGCCATAAAAAGTTGATTAGGATTAAAATGAGAAGCTTTATTGTCATTATACTGCAGTGTAAGACAGTACAACGACATTTTGAAGCCTGACAGTCTATAAAAAAAACAGACAAAAAACAAAACAAAACTATAGGACAGTTTAAAACTTGCTAAATATTCATAATATACCAGTCAGAAACTTTCTCCTTTCTATATTCCCAATTAAATTTAAATGAGTGAAAGTCTGTCAACATTGTTGGCTATTCGGATAAAATATAAACTTTTCTGGATGTTTGTTTACCAAAAAAACAAAGTGAAAATGCTGCACCAAAATATAAAACTCTGCAGAGGATAGAGGACATAATGTCAGATACACACATTTTTATGACTATGGTATGTGTTAGATCAGTGGCAGTGAGGTGTGATGAGAATATCTGCAGTCTTCCTTTTTTTTTTTTTAGGAGATATTTACATGAAATGCCCAACACTTCTGCTCTTTTCATCCAAAGCTGCTACTGTATCATGTTTTGCCTCCCGTGGGATTCAAGCCTTTCAACCTGTCTGAGTTACTAGTGTCATAGTCTCCACGCTGAGCCTCATACTGCGCTGTACGTAAACATGTCAGGCTCAAACATCGCTAAAGTGAACTGGTTTGGCCGCTACACTTTCTCCCCCTACCACGGGGATGGGTATCTGAGGGCACGTCATTTCCATCTTCTCAGTATCAAATGCTGTGTCCTCCCTAACGAGGTTATGTAAGATTATCTGGTTCAAACCCTCTGAGTTCCCCTTAATTAGGACATCCTCCGACTCTCACTCTCTTTCTCTCACTCCCTTTCTTTCTTTCTTTGTTAACACACCACACACCGCTCAGGCATAAACCAGAGGATAAGGATCCAAGGTGACTCTGGAGATGTCGAGAGATGCTTGAAAGCAGCTGTAAGAATGATAATCTAGCCTTTGTATTCTTGTGCAAATGCCCATTCCCTCTTTATGGTTCAGTGGCTCCGCTTTCATACAGATTTGAAGGCTCCTTCCATAGTAGGATACGAGAAAAAAGAAAAAAAAATAACGAAGGCATATAAAAGATGGTAAGCAGGGGGGTGGCCTCGGATTGGAGCGATCCATGTTTCAACGGGGAGGTTTACAGAGGTAAACTAAGTGGGGTGCCTGGGGGTAACAAAATTCAGAGGCCTGGTAGGGAGCTCCCTTTCAAGGTCGATCTGACCTCATTGCTTAGTTTCCATCCTCTGTGAGCCACAAGAGGAGGGAAGGAGAATATGGGTGCAGAGTGACAATGAGATAAGACCCTCAGAAACAATGCATACCTTTGAACTGAGCACGATAGAGAGGGAACAGAGCCGACATATTCATTGACAAGTCGCTCGGCAGATTCGGACTTTTTGTGTGCCAGCGGACCTTTCACAGCAAACGACTCTGACTCCCGGCAACAAGCACTAACCTATAGAAAAATATATGACACAGCAGCAATGACGTGCAACAACAGGAGGCAGGTGGGTGGCAGTAGGTGTGTTTCAGGGTGATTGTGGGCTGATTGTGATACAGTATGTCCGCATGGATGGAGAAATGTCTTCGCGGAGACGTTTATTTGAACGGCACACATTCGTGGGGCACATCCCTGACTGCTTTCCGCACATGAGAGAGGACAATGAGCAAACAAATGCTGGCTACGGAGAGCATCGTTATGCCGCTGCATTACATCATTAGAGGCTAAGTTGGCCATTAAAGGGAACAGGCATGAAGTCTCACGCTGACAACAAATCCATAAATATCATAAGGAGATGACTGGCTTCAAAGAGGCTGGATGGTAAAACCCTGTTTGGTGCTCTAACAGCAACATAACACATAGCATGCAGAATGAATCAACAGCTGTGATCAGAATGACATAAAGCACACGGTCTGATGGGAAAAAAGCCTCGGCTCATACAGCAGCTGACATTCAGATATCAAATATAATCCTCATACAAACCTGACATTTGAATAGTCCCCCGTCCCATATCGACAGTCACATGTGACATTCCTCATGCTGCATAGTCCATTTCTCCATTCCCCTCATGTCGGGGCAACAATAATGAAAGAAATTAGCAAGGTAAAGTCCCATCAGTCATGAAGCTGCTGGCCGACTGGGTGTACATTAGAAGATCTATTGATGCGAGCTAGTCACCAGAGAAAATACCCAACCGTGACGTGCGGACCCAGGCACAAAAATAGCAAAGGGGCCCTGGGAGGGATTACACAACAGCCCACGTTTAAGGACGCTTTTCCTCTCTCTCGCTGTGTTTCAAAGCACAGCAGCAGCTGCCTCACTCCACACACAGAGTGGGGAGCCGGCTATCATGAACCACAGAGCTAAATACCACCATTCTGCATAGCCACACTTCATTCAACCTCAGATTCGGTCATTTCTGGTAAACCTGAAACTGTGTGATCTGGATGAAGTCGTGCATTCATTCTGGTACCTGCATTCATTGACTGTTTTTTTATCTGTGAGGATGCGTTGGACAGAGCATTACAGTATATGTAAAGCAGAGGAGAAATGCATTAAGTGCATTGAAAGACTCTAATCACATGGTGCAGCAGCTCTGAATGTACATTTCCTTCATGCTATTCAGCGAGTATGCTGAGAAAGAGCTCAATGAAAGATGTGAGGCTGCCGCTGCAAAAATTAGACATGTTCTCTGAATTCTGAGACACCCACAGCCTGTTCAGAGCCAGTTCTTCCCGTCACGACAGGATTTGCTTTGTGAATGGAGTGAGTCGTGATGAGGGTGTCATTAACACGGCAAAAAAAAAAAAAAAACTAGGACAATACTGCAGATTATGTGCAGCTGCAAAACCTCGTCCTGTGAATCAGATGTGAGAGTTTGGTTTAACGTGGTGCTTTTACAGCCTCTGCATTAACACAACAACGTGGGAAATGTAAAGAACGAGAGGAAAGGAGATGAGATGTAACCCTAAAGCAACAGATTGCATTGTCATATTTACATTTTAAACTGGTAATTCAACATTTAGTCGATAAAAATGTATATTATATGTAGTATTGCTTCATTATATTTATGTGAAAATTAAAACTACAGTCACTATTTAACCCACCTTTATGCTTCCTGCCCAGACTTTTTGTAAACACCATAACAATAAAATGCATTTGCTCAGATATTCTCTTCAGTTCTTTTGTTTATTTGACACATATTGTTAGTTTTCAGATAGTTTCCAGCATTATTAGCTCACGATGTGATATATTATACTAAACATTTTACCAAATATACTGGCAGCTAGTTTAAAGTGCTTCTCGCATATGAAAGTAACTGACTAACTGACTAACTAACTACTTTTGTGCTTCTTTTTTTTTCTCCAGCTGCATTCTAGAGGGAAATATCGTACTTTTTACTCCATTGCATGTATCCGATTGGTGCTGTTACCTTGCAGCTCCATTTTTTATTCATTTGTTGATACAGACACCTTAATAGACTAGCTTTAGAGCACGTAAACTGCTAAATTTGAGTGGATTGAATATTCAATTCTACTGATCTTTGGATATACTGTATGTCTGACCTGCCCTTCATGTCACAGTTTGTTAAGAAGCTGCTCCTAATTTCTGCTGCTAAATCCATCAAAGCAGGTCTTTCCCCTGATTCTCAGTGAATTTATGATCCGTCGCTTGTGTGAAACTTTGGCCTTTCAACACAATGTAATTTACACAACTATAAATACTTCACCCGCTTTGACCATCCTGCTCAGTTTCACTCTGTGCCATTGGGTGAGAACAACTGGGTGCCTCTATGAATAGGAGTCCTTGGGCTTTGGGTTTTGCACCAGCGGCTGCGGTTAATACGTACTTCACAGAGTTCCCCGCTCTTAAACGTAAAGCTTACGCAGCAGAACAAAGGCTTTAAACTTATGTAATGACTCACTGTTGAACTCCACCTCCCAGTTCAGAAATCCTACCCAAGCTTTTTAGTTCCCGAGCAGCCCAAGAAACTGTAATTTCACAGTGAATTTCCTTGAGAAAACAGCAACTCGCAGTGTGCCAGGGCAGCAGTGAATGCAGAGCCTGTGTATTGACAGAGTCCCTCCACAGTATGGAATTGCAGGGAGCTATTATTAGATATAGCCTCTAACAAGCCAAAGATGAAGTTGAAGCTAACTAACTGCACTGCAGCTGAGATCCATTATGCTGTATTCAGTATCTAGAGGAGCGGCACTAAAATGGCTGATACTCAATGTGCAGTGAAGGTCAAGTCGCCCGCCTCTATAAATATAATGGTCTGTCCCCCAGGATGTTCCACACTGCTTGGCATTTCCACTATCTAAAGCTACACCGCCGCTCCGCTGACCGGCTCAAATCTGCCACAAATTTGCATGTGATTGAATGCCACACATGCATCCGACTACTAGAAGGCCTCTAATGATATTAAAATAGATGGGAGGGGGTGAGAGGGAGTGGGGGAATGTTTATGAATGGAAGGAATGAGGTTTTCCTCCCTGCTGGCGGTAGTGGCGGTCATATGGCTGACTGAGATATCACTTACAGGGGACACTGAACCCTGCAGGTTGAACAAACAGCTGATACGGACACCGGCGCATAAAACGCCATTAAAACCTCCCGCGAGCTTCCACTTCTCACTTTGACGCATCAATTCATTCAGAAAACTTCTCCTGATTCCCCCCTTCTTTCCACTTCTTTTTTTTTTTTTTCCTTTTTAAATCGATCATACACCGTTTCATTTATCCTTCTCTTCGAGTCAGCCTCTCGAGCGGGCGTACTTATGCCATTATCACAGCAGTACCTGAAAATAATCTGACATGATTGTGTGTTTCCATGGCAACCATGCCAACGTCTCTAACAGTTTCCCGGTTCCTGTCTACATATATAATTATTGCCACAGATTACAGCACCAAGACTGCAGAAATGAGCGGAAGAAAGCGGGCAGTCGACCAGACAGATATGTGATCAAACTGTGTTATAGTTCTTCAGCTGACAGACATTAAAGTACAGCTGCTGTCAATTTGCATAAAATCATGGTGGGGAAAAAAAGTGTTCTCTGCCTTTTATATGAAATGCTGTCTTCATTTCAGTCCTTCATGCATTTATCATGTGCACTTTAATTCAAAAATTGATGTCCACCAGACGTTTCGGACATACAGATGCTTATAAATGCATAATGTAGCTTCAGTTCAATCTTCACATTGTCATAGATTTTAAGCGTGGTTAATTATCACTACATGCAACACCATCAGAAGTGTGACCGTCACACAAGGCAGACAGCATGAATTTCCAAATTGCAGTCTTTGCAATTTGCTTAATTGTATTGTTTCAAACTGTGATTTCAATTTTAATTGTTCAGCTCCTAATGGTTTTAATGTGCTGAACTCCAGCTTAAAGGATTAATCAATTTATCAATTAGCCACCAGCCAGAAAGTGAAGCAGCAACTCTGCAGCAAAAAAATTTTTTGAAATAAATTAATACAAATAAATTTTAAAAAACAAGTCAGACAACTGCATTTTAAGCAGTTTTCTCTTATTTCCTGTACAAATAATCAAGAAGAAGTGAAATCACTATGTGGAAAATATTTCCATGTGCCCCCAGATGTTACCAATACTAAAAAAAAAAATGACTGTACATACACTATATATATTATTTTTTCCCCCATTTGTTAAAATACGTGTCATATCTGCTCTGTGTAACTGCAGCCTGCAGTCTAGCAGACAAAACCCTTCATTTTTGACACGTGATGGCAGTTTATTTTTTTTTAATTATTAGATAATTTTGATTAAATATAATGATTTTAAGCTTATATTTGGTTAGAACCACACATGATTAATTCAAGGGCTGTCTGGAAATTGATAATCCTACATTTATTTCCATCTTTGCTGTTTCTGTCTCTCATAAGATTTTTTAAATTCAGTTTTTGTTACTATTTTTTGACATTATATGGACCAGTTTGACAAAAAATACATAAATAATAGAGTCAAATCATACAGTATTGTCCAAGTGTGACCAGTACTGGAACAAAAAACATGAATTTACACATTTACTGTAGATATTTTTAATTGTACTAATTATGATGACATATAACACATTCTCCAAATCAAACTGAAAACCAGTGATTAATTCCAGGACCATCATAGACCTGTAAATCTGATTATTCTTCCTGTTTTTATAGATTCTTGATCAATGGTGTCATTTTGGACATTTGAAAAAAACTAACACGCCTTGAAAACCACTGTGGGTTCATTTTGTCACTGAAAAATAAACTCCTTTTGATTAATCGACTAAATAATCAACATATTAATCGATAATGAAATGTGTAGCTGAGATAAAACCCTTAATTTATTAATTGTATTAATTAAATTACAGTTGCTTTAATGAAGTCAACCTACATTACAGTCCCACCTTCATGTTAACAACATCCAACATCACCTGCATTTCCCCCCAAACTGTGCAGGATGATAAATATGAAGACTAACCACGTTCTGCATTTGTCCACGCATGATCTGCATCCTCGCAGCTTTCTGTTTGTTTGTTTGTTTGTTTGGGGGATCAGCTGCCATGTGCGGGTCTCAGGCTGGGGATAGCCTGCTGTAGGGGGGGAGGAGGAGGAGGAGGAGAGGGAGAAGGGGGGATGCACGGACGTGAGAACCCCTTGCAAACCCCCCATCTGCACGTCATGGAACATTTGCAGAACAGGGACCTCCCACCTTAAAGGCGTGCAACAGAGAGCAGACACAACAGAGAGATCTGCCCTGCACCGGACTCACCAGCTCAGGTGACAAATACACCTACCGCCGCCGCCGCTGCCGCTGCGGGTCTGCCGGGGGGAGAGGTGCACAAGGACGGCCTGGGAACGCGCCCCCGGCCGCGGTGTGTAGGTGCGGAGCGCCGGAGAGTCTTACCGGTGCAGAGGGCTTCGTTACAGCCGCTTCACAAGGAGCGTTGCTTCCTCGGGTCGTCGGTGCACAGCGGGGTGCATGGATCGGTTTCACTCCGTCGGGTTCTTTATTAAAATGTCACAGGAGGCGGATCAGGTGTTGTTATATAAGTGGACAGCAGGGGGCGCCACCGGGAGGGATCACTGAATAACCCTGAGCTGAGAAATGGCAGGAAAACATGACTTCTGCTGGAGTTGATGCACAGCACCCCAACAGAGACC